CACATAGAGACAAACGAGACAAACAACCATTCACTCTCTCACTCACACCTAGGGACAATTTAGAGTTACCAATCAGCCTAACATGCATGTTTTTGGACTGTGGGAGGAAACCGGAGCACCCGGAGAAAACTCAAGCATGCACGGAGAGAACATGCAACTCCACCCAGAAAGGCCCCTGGACCGGGGTTTGAACCAAGGACCTGCTTGCTGAGAGGCAGCAGCTCTACCAGTTGCGCCACCGTGCTGCCCTATGTTGGGAAATTATTTATTAATTTTTCATTCGTTTTCCTTTCATCCTCTTCAGTGTTACACAGGCTTGTGCCTATCCCAGTTGTCATTCGGTAATGTGGGGTACACCTTGAGTGGATCAGAATTCAAGGCCATATGAGACATTCATTCATCAGTCTAACATGCATGTTTTTGGACTGCAAGACGACTGTGACTGAACTCTAATTCACTTTTCTTAGCTTCAGAATGGCTCCTAGAGTAGATGGACCAACATAAAAAACTGATTATTGGGTTAGTAGGGTCATTTTGGTCATCTTCCAAGTCCCTCTGATTAACTTTAGCCCAGAGCTTTAAGTACAATGAATATTCATATAGAACAGAGTGGTTTATAGAAATATTTCCATTTGTACTAATGATCACCTTCCCATTAAGTTACAGCTGCTCATTATTATTATCATCTCTTAGTGAAAAAAGAATGTAACATTCAGAATCTTGTGAACGACCAAAAATCATAGATGTGGATTTAAGAGCGCATCAGATTCTTAGTATCGTTTGATCTGTATAGGTTGAACTGTGCAGGCTACATGTAAATCTGACAAAGTGGGATCTCAGTCTTTCCCTCCATTAATCCATTTTTTCCCAAATCAGACCAAGTCTGAATGGCAAATACTACTCAGATTTTAAATAAATGGCTCTTGTTCATTTATCCAGAGCAGATTAACACGGACGTACCGGTACTGTGTAGTGAAAATAGATGTTCGAAAACAGTGTTCCTAAAACGGAAAGCTTATATTTTATTTTATTTTATTGTTATTATTATTTTTTTTAAATCAAACATGTGCTATGTGCTAAACAACCAGACTACTGTACTCTACAATACTATTCTGTTCAGGTATCAATTTAGGACCAAAACAGAAACACAGATATAATTGTATGTATATATACATATATATATATATATATATATATA